AATGGCCCGGCACGGTGTGACCCTGTCATTTACTGTCAGGCCAAATGACAGGGGGCCGTGATGGAGAAACAGGTGGTGCACAATACAACAGAATCAATCAGCAGTGGCACACTGCTGATTGGCATTGTCCTTTCGTACACCCCAGCCGCACATGCTTCTTTGCAAAATTGACTTCACGCGCTTATAATCATGGTGTATGCCAATGAACGGCATTGAAATAGGCTTATGGCTCAAAGCCTAATGCTAATGTGTGTGTGTGTGTGTGTGTGTGTGTGTGTGTGTGTGTGTGTGTGTGTGTGTGTGTGTGTGTGTGTGTGTGTGTGTGAGAGAGTGCTTTAATGGTGAAATTATCCTTCGCCAAAACATTCAATTCGACACCCAAAATATTCAAAGCATATGGAGGGCAGTGATAAGTATGTAATGTTCTACATTGGGAGCATTTGTCTAACCATGCTCTGAGAAAGGAACAAAAACTCTGTACTTACTCCAATGAGAAGTAATATGAAGTGAACTCAAGCGTTCCGGTCATGATGAAACTTTATTAACTGACCAGGGGGGCAATGCTTTAAAAAGGGACATTTTAGCTTCCATATGAGTAAAATTAAGTTACGGCTGAATGATACTGACAAATAATCTAATTACAAAATGTTTTTTAATCTCAATATTGCGATTGCGATTGAATATGTGATTATTTTTTGAAGGTCCTCTTACCATGTGTGTTTTTTTTAAACATGCAATAAATGAATCTATATTACAATGTACAATATTTGATTTATTATACATCAATGGGGCGGCACGGTGAGTGACTGTTTAGCACGTCTGCCTCACAGCGCAGAGGTGCAAGGTTTGATTCCGGCTCCGGCCTTCCTGCGTGGAGTAAACATGTTCTCCCTGTGCCTGCGTGGGTTCCCTCCCACATTCCAAAAACATGCATAGTGGATTAATGGAACACTCGAAATTGTCCCTAGGTGTGATTGTGAGCACGAATGGTTGTTTGTCTCTTTGTGCGCTGTGATTGGCTGGCAACCAGTTCAGGGTGTACCCTCACGCCTACTGCGTGAAGACAGCTGGGATAGGCTCCAGCACGCCCGCGACCTTCGTGAGGATCAGCGGATTACAAAATGGATGGATGGATATAGTTTAGGTACGATTTCTGCTCAAATAAAGGCAAATGAACCACAAGGATATGAAAGACTTAACTTAAGAAACACTTTGACTTGCAGTCTTTTAGATGTTCATTACAACAATTTGAAGTGTGGCATGAACATAAATCAGTATGTCATAAACTAGATTACAACAATAAAACAAACAAATCTATGGTCTTATCACTTCAACTTTTCACGTTTCATAAAACAATGACACATAAACATCCAAAGCACTGAACACATCAAGACACTTCCTCACCCAATTTCCTCGCCCACCTTGGAACTGCATAACATCAACAGGATTCTAAAAAAAACCATCATCAAGAACTCAATGAGGCTGTGGAATACAACTCTGGAGGCGTGAGGCAGATCCTGAACAGGCATCTGAATGGCGAGGCCATTAACACCTACGCCCTGCCAGTAATCAGATACCCCGCTGGGCTGGCATAATACCCTGGCCACTGGAAGACATGCAAGCCACTGATATCAAAACAAGAAAGCTCCTTATAATATGGACGGTTCCACCCCACATCCAGCATCCTGAGGTACTGAGGTTAGACACAAAGAGCAGAAAGAGGGGTGGGGGGCGTGGACTAGTGAGCGTCATGGGCACCATCAGGAGACAACAAGCCTCCAAGAACACATCAAGATGATGGTCCCCGAGGGACAACCTGCTTTGGGAATAACTCAGGCTACAGAAGCCCAGTAAGGAGAAGGAGCCAGATGGACTGTCATGGAAAGACAAGCCTCTGCATGGCATGTACCAATAAAAAAATTGCATGTATCACAGAAGAGTGTAAGATACTGGTGGACAAGGTATAAGAGCGGCATAAGCAGGTAGCAGGAATAGCGAACCGCAACATCTCTACCAAATATGGATCCAGACTGGTGCGTTCTCAGAAGACATCAGTCGCGATAGATGTAGAAATCCCGAATGATAGCAACATCCGGAAAAAGGAACACGAAAAGCTGAAGAAATACCAAGGACTGAAGGAAGAACTCGAGAAAATGTGGAGCGCATAGGAAACAGTGGTGCCACTGGTGATTGGGACCCTGGGGGCAGGAACCCCCAAGCTGGGTGGATGGCTTCAGCAGATACCAGGAACAACATCTGACATCTCTGTGCAGAAGAGCGCAATACTGGGATCAGCTAAGATCCTGCGCAGACCCCTCAAGCAAGCTCCCAGCCTTTGGTAGAGGACATGAACTTTAAAAAGATACTGCCGAGTGGGCGAGGAAACTTTTTTTTTTTTTTAAATAAAAGGCCTGCCAACCAAGCAAAATAGTTTTTTTTAACTTCAGCTTTCAATGCTGATTTGAATCTGATTAATTGTTCAGCTCTATTCCCCAATGACAATAATCAAACTAAAATAACATAAAACTAGTCACCCCTTAATTGTGCCAGACCAACAGGGAATGTGAAAAGGAATGAAAAAGTGTGCCGTGTACAGTACAGAGGTACCATCACTTACAAACACCCCTACTTTGATTTTTTTTTTTTTTGTTTCGTCAGAACTTTGTCTTATGAAAGTCTGCTAGCTTAACGCCAACACAGGCTAATGAAACTAGCATTGACGTTGCCATGGTAATAAACGTTTAAATAACTGATATTTGCACATCGACGGCTCAGCAACACATGCAGACAGATAATTTGACATTTAGAGGAACTGGATGTATTATTCATGAGTTGTGAAACTGATTACCGTAATTTTCCTCTGTCCAATTTAAAATCCAAGTTTAAGACTGCCGGCACGTCAACAGGGTGGTATCTACAAAGGCCACTGGGAGCAAGCTACATAACTTCTGTTTTCTTTGCATTTAAATTCAAGTCAAACCCAGTTCCGTCCAGGCCTTGATTTGCTCCAGGCAGGACAAAAGTGACCTTAAGGATAAAGCGTTCTTTCTGCTCAGCCGGACATAGATCTGACTGTCTTGGTGAACGCTAGATCACTGCAAAAAAACAATCATGCTTGAAATATGTCACACACCAATTGAATGTGACATTTACGATTTGAAAGAAAGTACAAGTAACTGTTATGCGTGGATGTCTGGAAGCAAACTTCATGAACCCAAGCAATATTTGTCTGACAGATGTTTGTAAACCGTTTTGTTTGCGAACAGAGGATCCACTAAGAGGTTCTCACCTCAATTGCTCCATTCTTTTTCCATTTTTTTTTTTTTCATAGAGGCTACAGTTAAGAGAATGGGCAAATCAGAAAGCCAAATGGACATCATGGAGAAATCCAGTAAACCTGGCAAACGTAGCTGGACGGTGGCAGAAATCGGTCTATCTGTGCTCCTGCTGCTGGTCAGCTGTGCCCTGGCCGGCCTGGTGGTCCTCTACACATCCGCGCTGAAAGGTACCAATAATACGTCACGTCTTTCACTCTCACTGGTTGCTTGGAAAAGTGTGTGTGTGTGTGTGTGAGAGAGAGAGAGAGAGAGAGAGAGAGAGAGAGAGAGAGAGAGAGAGAGAGAGAGAGAGAGAGAGAGAGAGAGAGACACATAAACATCCAAAGCACTGAACACATCAAGACACTTCCTCACCCAATTTCCTCGCCCACCTTGGAACTGCATAACATCAACAGGATTCTAAAAAAAACCATCATCAAGAACTCAATGAGGCTGTGGAATACAACTCTGGAGGCGTGAGGAAGATCCTGAACAGGCATCTGAATGGCGAGGCCATTAACACCTACGCCCTGCCAGTAATCAGATACCCCGCTGGGCTGGCATAATACCCTGGCCACTGGAAGACATGCAAGCCACTGATATCAAAACAAGAAAGCTCCTTATAATATGGACGGTTCCACCCCACATCCAGCATCCTGAGGTACTGAGGTTAGACACAAAGAGCAGAAAGAGGGGTGGGGGGCGTGGACTAGTGAGCGTCATGGGCACCATCAGGAGACAACAAGCCTCCAAGAACACATCAAGATGATGGTCCCCGAGGGACAACCTGCTTTGGGAATAACTCAGGCTACAGAAGCCCAGTAAGGAGAAGGAGCCAGATGGACTGTCATGGAAAGACAAGCCTCTGCATGGCATGTACCAATAAAAAAATTGCATGTATCACAGAAGAGTGTAAGATACTGGTGGACAAGGTATAAGAGCGGCATAAGCAGGTAGCAGGAATAGCGAACCGCAACATCTCTACCAAATATGGATCCAGACTGGTGCGTTCTCAGAAGACATCAGTCGCGATAGATGTAGAAATCCCGAATGATAGCAACATCCGGAAAAAGGAACACGAAAAGCTGAAGAAATACCAAGGACTGAAGGAAGAACTCGAGAAAATGTGGAGCGCATAGGAAACAGTGGTGCCACTGGTGATTGGGACCCTGGGGGCAGGAACCCCCAAGCTGGGTGGATGGCTTCAGCAGATACCAGGAACAACATCTGACATCTCTGTGCAGAAGAGCGCAATACTGGGATCAGCTAAGATCCTGCGCAGACCCCTCAAGCAAGCTCCCAGCCTTTGGTAGAGGACATGAACTTTAAAAAGATACTGCCGAGTGGGCGAGGAAACTTTTTTTTTTTTTTAAATAAAAGGCCTGCCAACCAAGCAAAATAGTTTTTTTTAACTTCAGCTTTCAATGCTGATTTGAATCTGATTAATTGTTCAGCTCTATTCCCCAATGACAATAATCAAACTAAAATAACATAAAACTAGTCACCCCTTAATTGTGCCAGACCAACAGGGAATGTGAAAAGGAATGAAAAAGTGTGCCGTGTACAGTACAGAGGTACCATCACTTACAAACACCCCTACTTTGATTTTTTTTTTTTTTTGTTTCGTCAGAACTTTGTCTTATGAAAGTCTGCTAGCTTAACGCCAACACAGGCTAATGAAACTAGCATTGACGTTGCCATGGTAATAAACGTTTAAATAACTGATATTTGCACATCGACGGCTCAGCAACACATGCAGACAGATAATTTGACATTTAGAGGAACTGGATGTATTATTCATGAGTTGTGAAACTGATTACCGTAATTTTCCTCTGTCCAATTTAAAATCCAAGTTTAAGACTGCCGGCACGTCAACAGGGTGGTATCTACAAAGGCCACTGGGAGCAAGCTACATAACTTCTGTTTTCTTTGCATTTAAATTCAAGTCAAACCCAGTTCCGTCCAGGCCTTGATTTGCTCCAGGCAGGACAAAAGTGACCTTAAGGATAAAGCGTTCTTTCTGCTCAGCCGGACATAGATCTGACTGTCTTGGTGAACGCTAGATCACTGCAAAAAAACAATCATGCTTGAAATATGTCACACACCAATTGAATGTGACATTTACGATTTGAAAGAAAGTACAAGTAACTGTTATGCGTGGATGTCTGGAAGCAAACTTCATGAACCCAAGCAATATTTGTCTGACAGATGTTTGTAAACCGTTTTGTTTGCGAACAGAGGATCCACTAAGAGGTTCTCACCTCAATTGCTCCATTCTTTTTCCATTTTTTTTTTTTTCATAGAGGCTACAGTTAAGAGAATGGGCAAATCAGAAAGCCAAATGGACATCATGGAGAAATCCAGTAAACCTGGCAAACGTAGCTGGACGGTGGCAGAAATCGGTCTATCTGTGCTCCTGCTGCTGGTCAGCTGTGCCCTGGCCGGCCTGGTGGTCCTCTACACATCCGCGCTGAAAGGTACCAATAATACGTCACGTCTTTCACTCTCACTGGTTGCTTGGAAAAGTGTGTGTGTGTGTGTGTGAGAGAGAGAGAGAGAGAGAGAGAGAGAGAGAGAGAGAGAGAGAGAGAGAGAGAGAGAGAGAGAGAGAGAGATTTCAAAACAACATAAAAAGGTATTCCTCCCTTCTGCATAAAATACTTGAAATAAAATAAATACAAATAGTTCCAAAAATGATTTTTATACAAAAAAAAAAAAAAAACAAACAAACTAGATATAGCTTTTCAGGCGGTAACTGTTTCAATAAATTAAATTTACGGTAAATGTGTTTTAACATACAGCAGAAAAATTGTTATTTTTCTGCTGTATATATATATTATCTATCTATATATTATATATCATATTGAAATCAGTCACGACTCTGTATTAAATGTAAAATATATTAATCACAAGAAGCACTTGAAGGTCATACTGTGTAAAACGTTACAGGTGCATACAAAATTAGATATCATTTGTAGTATTGTATCTCAGTTCAGAGACGCCAGAATGAGCGTGACCACAATAACGTTGATCAGACAAAAATACACCATGTTCATTTCACGTTTGCCCAAAATATGAGTTCATGAATTTTCCTTCATTGAACTCGTTCAGGTAAAACACTATAGTTCATGTAAATAGCTTGAGAACCACTGCGGAAAAACAAAACCAAAAAAAAAAAAAAAAAGCTACCATGCTAATTATGTCCAATCCTCACTTTGAGAATTTTAAAGAGTTGTGCTTGTGACATTCTCACAAATGTCTTTTTTTTTTGTTTTGTTTTAATCCCCCTTCCAGAACAATCTCAGCATTCGAGCGTGTCGCGGAGCTCAGCAGACATGGGAGGTGAGCGACTGTAAAGCCCAGACAGTGAGGGATAAGTGCTATCACACGGGGAAGCGCCACCGCGCTAAATACCCTAAAGTCTCATTGCTGCGAAGTCAGCAGCGCGGCACAAAAGTCAGTGCTGACGCACCAGAGTCCACTGTGCCGCCAATACATCGCAAATGCTTTCCACAAGCAGTCTATGACTTCACTCAGTGTTCCTTTTGGTCAAACGGCATTCACTACTTTAAGGGAGATATTTTGTGTGATTTTTTTTTTTTTGTTAGTTTTTTTTTTTTTAAAGGGGACATATTATGTGAAATAGATTCTCAGGGTATTGAATTAATTGCAACTGGACAGCTGTGTTTTTCTTAGAAGACATTTCGCCTCTCATCCAAGGAGGCTGCATCAGTTTGTGGTACAAAAATTGGTTAGGCCAGCATCAACCTAAGATGGGATTGGTTGGAGAGACACCCCAACTACTCGTGTAATTTTTTTTTTTTTTTGGAGGGGGAATGCAAAACGAGTCATGAAGATGCCTTGTAGAGAGACTGTAGAGCAGGGGTGTCAAACTCATTTCACATGGTGAGCCACATACGGCCTCGGTAGATGTCAGGTGGGCCGGACCATTAAAATGATACAATACTTTGCTATAAATAACCAAAACAATATGTCTTTCCTTTGTTTTGGTATAAAGAAGCACAAGAACATTAGGAAAATGTTGAAATTTAATGAACATATCTTTTACAAAACATTTCATGAAGCACCTTACATTTCCTTCGACAAATGTGCAATTTACTTTTATCATTCACATATATGCATTGCAACTGATCCCACTGATTGTACAAACTTTAACAAGTAATTGGTATTGAAAAATACAGTAATGCACTTTAAGATTAAACAAGATTCATAAAGAAAGCA